GCTCAGTGTCGCTGAAGGAGAGACCATGTAGGTGCTCCTTTCTTCCTAGGAGTGCCACTTCTCTCTCTGCGTACCACCTTGGCCTTAAGAACTCTATGCTCAAACGCAGAGTTCAGTTCATAAATACATTCCCCCAATATGACTAAAAGGTCCTATCCATGTGCTCCCATGGCTTCTGCACTTATCTATATTATGGCACTCCACCCATTGCATTTTTTTTTTTTTTTTTTGGCGGTACGTGGGCCTCTCACTGTTGTGGCCTCTCCCGCTGCGGGGCACAGGCTCCGGACGCGCAGGCTCAGCGGCCATGGCTCACGGGCCCAGCCGCTCCGCGGCACATGGGATCCTCCCGGACCGGGGCACGAACCTGTGTTCCCTGCACCGGCAGGCGGACTCTCAACCACTGCGCCACCACGGAAGCCCCACCCATTGCATTTTACTTACCTGTCTGTACTCTCACTAGATTTTAACATCTATAAAGAAATTATACCTTATTCACTGTTGTATCCATAGCACCCACCACAAAGCCTGGCACATAACATGCTGAAGAGGTTTTGCTAAATAATCAATAACAGATTTTGTTAAGTGACATTGCCCTAAATTAATAAACAAAGGATTAAGTTCAGAAAAAATACAAAAGTTAAAAACAAGAAGACACAAATACTTCTAACATTTGCTCCCATTCACTAGCCAGCACTTTAATGTAGATTTCACCCCTCCCTCCCCCAAGACACACACATATGCCTTACTGTTGCTTTAAGCTCCTGAAAAGAGGAAAGGTGCTAGATCAAAACATTTACTAGTTGTAACTACTGCAAGACTCTTGGACAGTGCTTATTATAGCCAGAAACTGAAACTATTCTTACAAAACGAGAGGAAGAACAGTGGGAACAGAGCAAGGGAGTTTCACTAAGCAAGTCTTTCTTCTAGGGCACAAACTGATACTTTAATGTCTATTTTGAGGGGGTGCAAAATTATTTTAACTATTATTTGTGCATACCGAAATAGGGATATATATTCTTATATGAGGCAGCAAGAAGTACAAAACATCACCTTGGATATCGCTGCCCCAAATGAATCTAATCATGAAGAAATATGAGCCAAAACCAAGTTGAGGAAATTTTGTTTCGAAATAAAGAAAACTAAAGACATATGACAACTAAATGCAATATGTAATCCTAGATTTGGATCCTAGAATAGTTGTATCTTTCTCTGTCTCTGTCCACCAATCCATTTATCATTCATCTATGTATCCATCCATGTATCCATCTATCTATCCAACTATTCATCTATGTAAAGAATATCATTGGAACAATTGTCATAAACTGGATAAAGTTTGCAGATTAAATTGTATCACTCTTAATTTCCTAGTTTTGATCATTGTAACGCATTAGAGGAGAATTTTCGTGTTCTTAGGAAATACTGGGAAATCTGAGTGAAGTGTATTCTAGAATTCTTTATACTCTTCTTACAACTTTTCTGTAAGTTTAAAGTTATTTCATATATAAAATAGATAACCAACAAGGACCTACTGTGTAGCACAGGGAACTATATTCAGTATTTTGTAATAACCTATATGGGTAAATAATCTGAAAAAGAATACACACACACACACACACACACACACTCATATATATATGTAAATCCGAATCACTTTGCTGTACACCTGAAACTAACACAACATTGTAAAGCAACTGTACTTCAATTAAAAAATCAATGAATCAATTAAAAATAAAATCCTGCGTGGGTTCCACGAGCTGCAGCATTTGATTAATGTGTGAACATATTTCTAGAAAGAAACTTGAATGAAATTTTCAAGACTGTGAAAAAGTTTTCAAGAATGGAAAAAGAAATTTAAAAAACAACAAAACAAGTGGTAGTTTCTTAAAATTTGTGCCTAAATAAACCGTATAAATAAATTTTTCATACTCTGTTCCATTAAAAAGTTATTTCAAAATAAAAATATTATAAAAATTAGGGTTATAAATACAAATAATCAGATTGAGAGATACGTACTGTGATGGACTGAATGTTTGTGTTCTCCCCCCAAAATTCATATGCTGAAACCTAATCCCCAATGTAATGGTATTTGGAGGTGGGGCCTTTGAGAGGTGATTAGGTCATGAGGGTGGAGCCTTCATGAATGGGATTACAGGCGTACCTTGGAGATATGTGAGTTCTGTTCAAGAAACCCCCAATAAAGTGAATATCTCAACAAAGCAAGTCACACACTAGTTTTGGTTTTCTAGTGCATATAAAAAGTATGTTCACACTGTACTGTAGTCTATTAAGTGTGCAACAGCATTATGTCTAAAAAAACAATGTACATACCTTATATTAAAAACACTTTATTGCTAAAAATGCTAATCTGAGCCTTCAGTGAGTCCTAATCTTTTTGCTGGTGGAGGGTCTTGCCTCGATGCTGATGGCTGCTCACTGATGAGGGTGGTGGTTGCTGAAGGTTGGGGTGGCCGTGACAGCTTCATAAAATAACAATGAAGTCTGCATCATGAATTGACTCTTCCTTTAAGAAACAGTTTCTCTGTAGCATACAATGCTAGTTGACAGCATTTTACCCACAGTAGAACTTCTTTTCAAAATAGAAGTCAGCCTTTTCAAACCCCGTAGCTGCTTTATCAACTGAGTTTACATAATATTCTAAATGCTTAGTTGTCATTTCAACAATTTTCAGTGCATCTTCAGCAGGAGTAGATTCCATCTCAGGAAGCCATTTTCTTTGTTCATTCATAAGAAGCAACTCCTCATTCATTAAAATTTTATCATGCAATTGCAGCGATTTAGTCACGTCTTCAGGCTTTGCTTCTTATTCTAGTTCTCTTGCTATTTCCACCACACCTCCACTGAAGTCTTGAGCTCCTCGAAGTCATCCGTGAGGGTTGGAATCAACTTCTAAACTTCTGTTAATGTTGATAGTTTGATCTCTTCCCATGAATCGTGAAAATTCTTAATGGCATCTAGAATGGTGAATTTTTTCCAGAAGGTTTTCAATTGACTTTGCCCAAATCCACCAGAGGAATCACTGTCTATGACAGCTATAGCCTTATGAAATATATTTCTTATAGACTAAGACTTGAAAGTTGAAATAACTCCTTGGTCCATGGGCTACAGAATGTGTATTGTGTTAGCAGGCGTGAAAAACAACATTAATCATAATCATACATGTCCATCAGAGCTCTCAGGTGACTGGGTACATTGTCGATGAGCATTAATATTTTGAAAAGAATCTTTTTTCCTGAGCGGTGGGTCTCAACAGTGGGCTTAAAATATTCAGTAAACCATGTTGGTAGATGGATGTGTTGTCATCCGGGCTTTCTTGTTCCATTTGTAGAGCATAGGCAGAGTAGATTTAGCATAATTCTTAAGGGCCCTAGGATTTTCAGAATGGCACAAGAGCATTGGCTTCAACTTAGAGTAACCCCTGATTAGCCCTGAGAGTCAAAAGAGTCAGCCTGTCCTTTGAAACTTTGAAGCCAGGCATTGACTTCTCTCTAGCTGTAAAGGTCTTAGATGGCATCTTCTTCCAATAGAAAGCGGTCTCATCCACTTTGAAAAATCTGTTGTTTAGTGTAACCACCTTCATTAATTATCTTAGATGGATCTTCTGGATAAGTTGCTGCAGCTTCTACATCAGCACTTGCTGCTTTACTTTGCAATTTTACCCTATGGAGATGGCTTCTTTCATTAAACTCCATGAACGAACCTCTGCTAGCTTCAGACCTTTCCTCTGTAGCTTCTTCACCTCTCTCAGGTTTCACAGAAGTGAGGAGAGTTAGAGCCTTGCTCTGTATAAGCTTTGGCTTAAGGGAATGTTGTAGCTGGTTTGATCATCTATCCAGACCACTAAAACTTTCTCCATATCAGCAATAAAGCTGTTTCGCTTTCTTATCATTTGTGCGTTCACTGGAGGAGCACTTTTCATTTCCTTCAAGAACTTTTTCTTTATGTTCACAATTGGGCTAAGTGTTTGGCACAAGAGGCCCAGCTTTCAAGCTACCTGGGCTTTCAACATGCCCTCTTCACTAAGCTTAATCATGCCTAGTTTATGATTTAAAGTAAGAGATGTGAGACTCTTCACTAGACGGCTTAGAGGTCATTGCAGGATTATTAATTGACCTAATTTCAAAGTTGTTGTGTCTCAGGGAATAGGGAGGCCCAGGAGAGGGAGAGAGATGGGGGAATAGCTGGTCGGTGGAGCAGTCAGAACACACACATTTATTGATTAAGCTCACCATTTTATATGTACATGGTTTGTGGTGCCCCAAAACAACTACAATAATTACATCAAAGATCACTGATCACAGATCACCATAACAAATCGAATAATAATGAAAAAGTTGGAAATATTACCAGAATTACCAAAATATGGTACAGAGACACAAAGTGAGCAAATGCTGTTGGAAAAATGGCGTCAGAAGACTTGCTTGATACAGGGTCGCCCCAGACCTTTGATTTGTAAAAAAACGCAATGTCTGCAAAACGCAATAAAGCAAAACACAATAAAATGAGGTATGCCTGTAGAGCCCTTATAAAAGAGACCCTAGAGACCTCTCTCACCCATTCTGCCATATGAGGACACAGTGAGAAGAAGGCTGCCTATAACCAGGAAGTGGGTTCTCACCAGACACCCAATCTGCTGGCACCTTGGTCTCAGACTTCCCAGCCTCCAGAGCTCTGAGAAATAAATGTTTCTTGTTTAAGCCACCCAGCCTATGGTATTTTTGTTACAGCAGCCCTAACAGATTAAGACATGTACATTAAACAAAATAGTTTTATACCAAATCAGTTAAACTTTAAGCATGCTGAAAATTTTTTGAGACCTAGGAGTGTTTGTTTGGGTTAGTTTCAAAGTGCAGGGGGACATACCGGATTTTGTGTGATTTCCAGTGACATAGTGCAAAGATGAGGTCCCACACACCTTTAGTGTTGCAATAATATAAAAAACCTCAGGAGCACTCCAGCCAACACAATTCCTCAGAGACAGCCAAGCACACCAGTGTCTGGGGCTGCGGGACACTGGAAAGAAAGGATCCAGGGTAAACATGACTTCCAAGCTGACCATAGCTCTATTGCTTTCTTGGCAGTTCCATGCTTTCTGCAGCACCGTGTGAAGGTAGGCATATTCTTCTGATCACTAGAGCTTTCTTTTGTATAACTGTGATCCTCAGAAAGCAAGGGGCTTTAAATCTGATCAAAATTGCTTTAAGAACAAACATTTATTTTTATTCAAACAAACAAACAAAATTCATTTAACGTTGACAGCGCTGCAAAATGACTTCCATGGACCCTAGACAATTTTACCTTTGTGGGGTTCTCCCATCATAATATCAATATTAAAAATTGCTTTTGACATCACTTTAAATACTTCACCTTTTCTTCTGCTTCAGGGAAAATTTAGTAGATTTTTGTGGGTCCAAAAAATTTCACCCTTTTCTGTTGTGAGAAAAAAATAACACTTTTTTTGACTCTAAATCTTTTTTTCTTTTTTGATTTTAAAAGAAATCAAAATATTTTCAAAGGACCTAAAATTATTGTGGGCCCTAGGCACTGTGTCTACTATGCTTAATGTACAAGTCAGCTCTGATTGAATTAGATTTTGAAATATTTAGGCTGTATCTCTATTCTTCTAAGGAAGGTGTAATATTTGAATTGATATAAGCATTTGGTTGCTAAAAATATATGTCTGAATATTAGTTGAATTTTATAGACCTATGTATCACTATATATACCTAAATCCATTTATAATTTATATTATATTCCACTGGGAGTTGATAAATATTGTCCATTAACATCAAACCAGGTAACCCATATATTTTTACTTAGCATTCTGTTAACAAAGGTTCAGACAACTATCATTTCCTATCTGTTTTGAAGACCCCATGATGGATCCTAGACCCTTCTGAGATCCTGTTCTATAACAAATAATATCTTGTTTTTAACATGTGGTTTCTGCACTTGAATTTTTTCTTTTATTAGCATGAAAGAATTTTTCTTAAACATAACACATCTCTGTGAAATAGTATATGTTTCTATTAATTCTTTCTAAAGGTGATTTCTTTGTTGATGAGATCATAGCTGACCTCCTGTAAATACCATTATGGTGTCACAGAGGATTCTGCAAAATCAAGTAGAAGAAAAATTGTCATATGGAGGTTCAACATTAATTTTGAAAACTACAAATATTAATCTTCATATAGAAAGTTATTCAAAGTAGTCAGTGAAAATCGTTTTTCAAAAAAGGAAATGGATGTCAAGGCCTGGCCAAAAAGTAGTCTTTTATTTGTAGCAATCTGTTTCTTAAAATTAAGACTTTTTTTGTGGACCTCGAAATCGTCATATTAGAGTTTAAAGAGTATGTAGCAGAGTTATGACTTTTAATGAAACCGGTACCTGTTCCCTTATTGTTTTCACTGCTTCCATTGTGTCAAGTATGACTGCAGTGTTTCAGTGCCAGTGGGTGATGACACATTCCACTCCTTTCTATCCAAAATGTATCAAAGAATGAAGAATGATTCAGAATAGATCACACTATAAAAGTTGAGAAATCATGTATTTAAAAGTGCTGAGTTATTTTGCATCTGCAAATGTAGAATATCTAGGTGCTGGGTGTTCAGTGGTAAACAAAAATGAGAAATATCTCTGTCCTGATGACACTTAATGTGGTACTGATGTCTGTTTGGTTTTGGCTCCAGTGTTGTCTTACTTCTGAATCCTAGAGCAGTAGTTTCATTTATCTGATATAAGCAGATTCCAAAACACAGCCTGGGGAGCGGGTTAACCTCCATCCTGTAGAGTTAAAGTAATTGGAGAAGCAGGACAAAATTTCTGAAATAATTATTAAGTTTGAATTGGGAATTAGTGTGATCAAAGCAACTCTAGGCACATGCTGGCTAACCCTAGCGATCTGACTCCGGGTAATCTGGGAATTCCTTTCCCTGTGACTGCTGGGTCCAACGGCCTTTGGCAATGTAAGTGAAGTGCTGCCGTGGTTTCCAGAAAATTGTGAAGAAATCCTGTTGGCACCATTTCAGTTCACCGCTGAACTCAAAGGACCGTGATTTCAGTAACAAAGGAATATCTAAACCAGGTAAATAATTGATCCTCCAAATCTTTTTTTTAAAGCTCATTCACAAAGACCTGTATCTCTGCCTAGATCTTCAGCAAAAGTGGGTGCAGACAGGTATACAGATAGTTTTGAGGAGGTGAGCTGATTTTTCTCAATTAAAATTCTTTATCATGCAACTAATAAGGAAAATTCAGAAAACTCAGCTCCTCAATTACCTGATGGAATCTTACTAACTCCACCCCCCCTTTTCTGCTGCTGCTTAAAAGTTTTCTTTCATGTATTTGCCTCTTCAATAATAGGAAAAAAATAGCAGCAATAGCAATTTTGCTTTTTTAATAACTGAAAATGTAGAGCAAATCAGTAAACCTAAAACTATTAATTTCTCAAAATAAAGAAAAAAGCACAACAAAAAATTCCTTTACCCTTTTTAAAAAATTAATTAACTTATTTATATATTTTTGGCTGTGTTGGGTCTTCGTTGCTGCGCGTGGACTTTCTCTAGTTACAGGGAGCGGAGGCTACTCTTTGTTGCGGTGCACGGGCTTCTCATTTCGGTGGCTTCTCTGTTGCGGAGCACCGGCTCTAGGCGCGCGGGCTTCGGTTGTTGTGGCACGCAGACTCAGTAGTTGTGGCGCACAGGCTTAGTTGCCCTGAGGCATGTGGGATCTTCCCAGACCAGGGCTCGGACTCATGTCCCCTCCATTGGCAGGAGGATTCTTAACCACTGCGCCACCAGGCAAGTCTAAGTTCCTTTACTCTTAATTCATTGTTTGCTGTTGATAGCTTTGAGGAATGAGAAAAAAATGATAAAAAAATTAAAGGATAATTCTTCCATGGTTTCCAAAAATTTCTCAGTGAATATGTTCATGAAATTCAAGTAAATAAAATCAGAGCTCTAGCCAATTCTGTTCAATCCCCACCCATATCACCCTATCCTCACTACTTCAGTACTCACTGTGTTTAGTTTTTCAGGGCTTTCTCTGGCCACTGGAGTCCGCTATAACAGCAGAACCAAAGGCTGGAAATACTGGGAAATTAATGCCCCTGGAAGCAGCCTTTAACTAATGACTCACTAGAGTAGTGTGTAAATAGCCCAGCTCCTTCACTCCTCGGGTGGGATAACTCTGAAACATGCTATACGTGGTTTCCAGTGAAGTTCCAATTAACCCATAGCAGTAACTGACACTTTATTGGTTGCCTTCTCTTTCCTTTGCTATTATCCCTCACCCACTGCTCTTGTTTACTGGGATCACTTCCAAAATAAACTATTGACACTTGAATCCATACCTGAGTGACAGCTTTTAGGGATAACCAGACTGAGACAGTAGCTTTTAATGCTCTGCAGGGCTGGAAACCAACCACTGTGTTTAGTTTCTCCTGAATTTCTAAAGTGGGATGAAAATATGCCACACAAGAGAATTGTGAGGATGTGTAAAAATTCTTTAAGTTTTTAAATAGTCATATAAAATATTATTTTCAAATGTAACTTAGTTCAAATATAATATAACATATGTACTTAGATTGTAGGGTTAACCAAAGGTAATATAGATAATTATAAAGAAAAAAATATTAATAGGATAATATAATGGCCTAGAAGAACATTTATATTTCTTTTAGATTCTTAATGATGTTCCATTAGAGAGCTTTTGATGCTGCTGCTCTCATCTTTTCTCTGCTGGTACCCTGCTTATCCTGCTTTCATTTTTACTCAGTTATAGCTTGAACCATGAGACTCTTGTTTTAGAGCAGTACCCCATAATAGTTTCATTATATTGAAACACAAAATAGCAAGGATTCACTTGACATTGTGTTCAGTGTCATTGTTTATTGGTCAAAATTATTTATTCTCTACCATAGGTTGTCATTATTTTATTTAGATAAATGTCATTTGTCAACATCAAGTTTTATTTTTTTATTACCTTTTTTTTTTTTTTTTTTTGCGGTACGCGGGCCTCTCACTGCTGTGACCTCTCCCGTTGCGGAGCACAGGCTCTGGACGCGCAGGCTCAGCGGCCATGGCTCACGGGCCCAGCCGCTCCATGGCATGTGGGATCTTCCCGGACCGGGGCACGAACCCGTGTCCCCTGCATCGGCAGGCGGACTCTCAACCACTGCGCCACCAGGGAAGCCCTAAGTAGTCTTATATATCTACAGACATACAGATATATAGAACTACATGTATATCAAGGCATATTAAAGTTGATGGGAGTAGTTTGGTGCAATAGTTAGGAGAAAGACTGGAAACTGTGAATAAAGGTAAAGCAGATTGAAAAGTATATCTGTTAAGACTTAGTACGGTCAGAGATACTTTGACTACATCTGAAATGTGTCTCCAACAGGTTAATTTAAAACACTATGAAAATTTCATTTTTCCACAATGAGTTTTCAGCTTATTCAGTTAATTAATGATAACAAAGCAAGAAGAAAAAGACAGTCTACTACAAAATGTGGGAGAACAAATATTGGCAATTCACAGGGAAGTAAAACTTAATGTAAGGCAATATGCATGTGAGAAGATGTTAATGCTCATTGCCCATCAGGGAAATGCAAATTAAACCACAACGAAGTACTAAAAAATAATATATCGAATAACTCTGAGCATTAGCATATGGAGAAATGGGAACTCATACATTGCCCAAAGGGGAGTGCAAAGTTATATAACCACTTTGGAGATGATGAAGTAGCTTTCTAAATTACTTTCTATCTGCAACAGAGCATCTGGATATATGGACAGGATATAGCTGATGGAGAGTGAGGTGTACTGGGTTTCAGGGGAACTGTCCAAGGCGGTAAGAAGGGGGTCATCGGAACTAATCTGTAAGTAAGCGCCTATGAATACCTACTTTCAAAGCACTTTTAAAAAGATTGTATTATCCTGAGGCTAGAAGCTAGAACTTGCAGTTGGGAGTGTGATGATGTCCCTGGTAGAAGTTTTGAGGTCTCCAAAACAAGGTATACTTTGGAGAAGATAAAATTCCTTGAATAAATTGTAGGATTAAAGAAAGAAATAGACCTGGTTACTCTGGTCATATAGATCTAAAATTTATAGTAGGAAGAAGGGGCATTGACAAGACTATTTTTATTCTCTTTAAAGTCCAGGTATATTAGTGCCACAGCATGCCAATGAAAATTAATTACCTCATAGAATATAGAGATGGGGAAAAAAATAAAGCATACTCCTTTTCTCTCCCGGGCATCATTGTAGAAAACCCCATGAGTTGGATCTAAATAGCTTTTATTTAAGGGAAGCTCAAGTAATTGGGAAATAGAAGGATAAACTAGAGGGGAAGAGTTGTGCTAGGGTTGAGGTATACTCTCTAGATGGAAAGAATACTGGATATATATATATATATATATATATCTGTAATCCAAAATATGCTAATTAAATGCAATTTGAAACTTTAAAACGTTACTAAAGGGTATGTTGATTTACTTCTTAATATTTTTATGTCATTTTTGCACTTTCATATAGAACAACTTTTTTTCCCACATCTTCAACCAGAGTATTTTGAGGCTTCCTAAGATCTCTCTTGCTCTCCGCAAGAACTTACACAAATTATTTATTCTCTCTAAACCTCAATTGCATCAGCTGTAAAATGGAGATATGATGGCACTTACTTCATAGGGTTGTTGTGAGCATAAAATGATATAATATATGTAGATGGCTTATGGCAGTGGCTGGCACATAGAAACAAGTCAATGTGTGTAACTGACTATAGCATAACACTGGTAATCATCCTTTCATTAGTAAAAGTCAGCCATTACCATATGAAACCCTTTTGCAAAATATATTTGTTGAAAGGTAACAATTTAGTAATAGAAACCAAAATTCCGATCCCAGGGTTCGGTCTCCAGGACTTTTCTAAATCTGTCACAAGGTGGCCCCAAATCCATATCCCTCATGGCTCTGCGTTCATGGAAAATGAATCAAACAGCAAAAAGATATTGCAGCAAAAATCCATGGTAATAATAATCCAAAGTGTAGGTGGTCCACCTAATAATCAATCGTCCATTGTCTGGAAGAAGATAGAAAAGCAAGCCTTATATGTTTGAAATGGGCAAGAAGTTTGTTAAATGTGTCTAGATGATTTTTTTCAAGGTTAGTCTCAATAAAAGTGGTTAATATATCATCCTTGACATTGAACACTTCAAGTAGTATATGGCCTGGTGTGCTTGGTTGAGAAAAATCTCTAATCTTTACCTTTTTCCTCTTATAAATTGGTTAGTTAGCAATTATTTTTCTTTTATCTGAACACTTGTAAAGCAGTTTCAGAACCATTTCCTCTTTATTTTCTTCTACCTGAAACAGAGAGAAAACTGTAAATCATATAAGATCCTGTCAGGAAAGCCTCAGATTAAACGTTTTATAAGATCATGACTAATTCATTACTTCTTCCTCTTATTTCCAGATCCTTGAAGTCTCAAAACCTTCCTTCCAGACAGTGAAAAATGCTTTCCAGGCTAGGTAGTGTAATTCTAGAAGAAATGCTTGGCAATTGATTGCAACTGGTAGATAATACTTGAATAAATGGTAAAAGAATTAATACCATGGGACTGAGCATTTAAGAACTACCATATTGTAGTAGAGTGGTTACGAGTCTTAGTATAAGAGTCAGAAGTTTGGTATTCCAGTTTAACTTAATAGTGGAGTAGCTTGGATAAGTCACTTCAAGGTTATCAAACTTTTTTCGTGGAGGTTTTTGTGAGAATTGAATGTGTGTGTAAATTGCTGAATATTCTGCTTGGAGCACAGTAAGGACATAATAGTACCTTTTATTACCATCACTGCTTTTGCTCATGATACTGTCGGATAAAGGAAAGAAGTAATTTAATCTTCAACGGAAAGATCCAAACACATCCCTGCTGACATTTTCTAGCTGATTCTGAATTGAGCTTCGAAACCCAGCTCTAACTGACACACCATCTTCCATGTTGGTTGGTTTGTTTTTGCAGAGCAAGAGGGGGTCAGCACTAGGGGCAGCCCAGCATTGCTTGGAAGACTGCAGCCTGGAATTTAGTAAGGTGTTGTGAGTATACACTTTAGCCAAAAATACAGAAAATTATATTTTTTGAGTGAGCTTATAGACTTTTCAAAGTAACTGAGAGACACTTGACTTGATGTGCGCACTCTACTACATATTTGATTTTTATCTCAGGAAAAGAAGCAGAAATAAGATAAAATTGTTGAACTTAGTAATCTACAGACGTCTTTCCTGCATCTGTCTTTGTAAGTAAGAAGATAACTTAGACAGTCTAATTATAGTGTAGGTAAATTACAATTCATAATCAAACGTGACTCACTGTTATGCCCAGAATTTCCAACTAAATGTTTTATGTGAATTGTTAAAATTCTATTTTTACTTGCCTTATGGCAAGGGCTTGCAGGTAGCCATCAATACCAAGACCTTAGACAGCATTTGTAACACTAGATGGAGGACACACGTTTGATATTCTCCCTACACTTTAGAGAAAGCTGTTCAGCGCTTGTTTCCCAAGATAAATGTGTTAAGACATGACCACTTTCATCAAGAATGTACTTGTAATAGATAACTAATAGGCTCCTGCTGTATAGCACAGGGAACTCTACTTCACTGTACAGTAGAAACTAACACAAAATTGTAAAACAACTATACCCCAATAAAAAAAAAAAAAAGAAAACAATGCAAATTCATTCTTCATTGTGCATTGTATTAAATTAAAAGCAAATCAAGAAAAAAAACTGTACTCCTGAAATATTTCAAGATGGATTCAAATGCAATATTCACACATAATCTTTTGAAACTTACCAAAAATTAAATTACACTTTTGAAGACCAATTTAAAAATTGGAACAAAGATTAGCATAACTAGCTATATAAAGTATACACACACATCAGGCACTCTGTTGCACATTTCATCCAATTTTAACAACAATTTTATAAGTATTATCCCCATTTGTTCTGAACCATCAATTTCTTCTGTGCATTTCTTAATGTATTGCATGATAATTACAAAAGATTAATATTTGGGGATATGTATCCTAATGTTTTTAATATACTGGTAATTAAGGATGGGAAGAGGGATATGCTTAAACACTCGTGTGTGTGTGTGCGGCGTAATATATAGAGTTTTACTTTTACAGCTCTTTTTAATTAACCTCTTTCTCTCTTTTTGCAGGTGGGGACCAAACTCGACGGGGAAAACTGGGATGAGTTGATAGGGAGTTTTGTTGCCTTCGTACTAACCTGGACATATTGTGAGTTCACTAGGCAAAATTACCAAGGCATGATTGTTAAACAATTTTTCTTTTTGTCACCTTCCTACCTTCATTCCCAAGCCTTTTTGCTTCCTCGTTCTCCTTGCATCTTGGCACCTAGAACTTTGTCAGAGCTCTCCGGCAAACCAGAGCCTGCTCTCCAGAGCCTCTGCCTCTCCTTCCAAATAAAGATAACCCCTGCCACCACCCCTCCCCATTTCCACCCCCGCCTCAGTGTTGCAGATAAAATAAGTCACTGATCTGGTTATAGTGCTTGATCCTAAGATAACTGAACGGGCCATAGCCTTTATCAACGAACTTTAAAGAATCTGCAGAACTAAAAGCCATCTCTAATAGAAAAATACATGGGGGTTAATTTTCATTGCAAACTACCTCTTTTTTTTTAAATTTTTGGCTGCGGTGGGTCTTCATTGCTGTGTGCGGGTTTTCTCTAGTTGCGGCGAGCAGGGGGTGGGGGCTACTCTTAAATGTGGTGCACCAGCTTCTCATTACGGTGGTTGCGGAGCACAGGCTCTAGCATGAGTTTCAGTAGTTGTAGCACGTGGTCTCAGTAGTTGTGGCGCACAGGCTTAGCTGCTCCACGGCATGTGGGATCTTCCCCGACAAGGGCTCGAACCCGTGTCCCCTGCATTGGCAGGTGGATTCTTAACCACTACGCCACGAGGGAACTCCCTGCAGACTACCTCTTAAGAACAACTTAACAATGCACAAACAGAAGCCGCCTCCCACCCCACACGCACACTCCCATGCTGAAAGTAAAATGACAGGAAAGGAACTTTTCCAACACGTACAATCGTTTGCTTCCACACGTCTACTCTCTTGCCCACTCTATATTTTCTACTCTCTTGCCCACTCTATATTTTCATATGCAGAGCTTTAGTGCTGGAGAGGTTTATATGTATGTTCTAACAGGGCACTCTTTTTTTTTTTATTGTTAAGAAGATGTTGGGGGTAGGAGTTTATTAATTAATTAATTAATTTTTGCGGTGTTGGGTCTTCGTTTCTGTGCGAGGGCTTTCTCTAGTGTGGCAAGCGGGGGCCACTTTTCATCGCGGTTCGCGGGCCTCTCACTATCGCAGCCTCTCTTGTTGCAGAGCACAGGCTCCAGACGCGCAGGCTCAGTAGTTGTGGCTCATGGGCCTAATTGCTCCGCGGCATGTGGGATCCTCCCAGACCAGGGCTCGAACCTGTGTCCCCTGCATTAGCAGGCAGATTCTCAACCACTGCACCACCAGGGAAGCCCTAACAGTGCGCTCTTAAATACCATGCTTCACTTCCTAGAAAAGTCCTGTAGATTGATGCATTGTTTTAGCCAAAGGAATGCATCCTTGCTGTTAGAAAGCAATCTGGCGTTGATTTGGTCAGGATGAGGTTCAGAAAGCGATGTAAAGAACTAACATGCTATTCAGTATTTTAATTGATTTTGTTTCTCTCAGTTATAAATAATTTAATCTCCCTGCATCAGAATTCAACTGTTAATAGAAGGATGAAAGATCACTCTTACTTCTTTTGTAGCCAAGGTATATTTCCAACCACATCAGATTAAAACAACTAATAGAAACACTTTAGATTTTAAACACAGGAAAGTGTGGTGGAATTAGGGCCGTTTCTAATTTAAGCTTCTAAGAGGCTCCTAGAACTACTATTAATTCTGTTTCTTTTAGTCTGAGATACAGGTAAGAGCTGGGTAGCTCCATTACAGATGGAAAAACTGCCCAGAGAGGGTAGGAGGTTTCTCAACATAATAAATAGAATCATAAAAAGGAATCAAGGCCCTCTGACTCAACGGTCCAGTGTTTTCTAAAGGCAGACCACACTTAGATGTTTAGATTCATTGCCAAATACCTACAAACACAACTAACCACAGGGACTGTGAGATCAGGCCACTTGGGAAAAATACATCAGTACTGTAACCTCTTGAGCAAGTGTAAAACATAGCCCAGAAGTATGCTGGTGTCTCAGCTTTGTTCACCGTAACATAAAATCAGGGGAGGTGAGGGACAGAACATCGGGGGCTGCCCTATCACCATCCTGTGACCAAACTAGGATCAGTGTCTGGGGGTAACTGGCTATTTCCAAAAAGAGAAGACGACATAGGATCAAAGAAAGGCAAACCAAAGAACTTTAATGTGGATAACTGGGTAATGGAAAGCTAAATATTTTTACAATCCATAGAACTCCCAGAAAGAGATGTATTTCTGTAGACAAAAGAATTTTTTTGTGTCTCTCTCTTTTTTAAAAAAAAAAAAAAAAAGGATTGCCATAATTTTTGTTTTCCTAAAATCAGAATCTGAGACGAGGCCTTGGGTGCTGGTAGTTCATCTATGAAGGGATCCAGGACACCAGAATAAGGAAGTAGAGAAGTGGAACAGGGAATGGTAGAAAGCCAGTGTAAGTAAGTATGCCTCACTGAATTGCCGCTATGGGCAACAGGGAGGGTCTCCATTCCCCTGGAACTTCCAGGAAGTAGACAGAATGCCTCCTAGAATATTCTCCCTTAAAGGCATGGAGTCTGGAGTATGTAACATCAGTTCTCCTCACCCAGTGGTTGAGGATAGCCCTCAGGGGCATTAACTCCTACCCCCTACTTGTAGCTCTTCTTGTGCACTAGTCAGGCACACTCCCACTACCCTGGGGAAAGCTGTGAAAGCAGAATGCAGAAAGATGCCTGCTCTTGAGGTGGGAAGCTACCAGTGCAAGGTGCAGCTGAGATTATTGTATAGAACTCTTCCCCACTGTTGTGACTGAAATCAGAAGAACTTTTAGGGGTATGTGATGTGGAGAACAATAAATGCATGTTGAAGGCTGCCTCTTGTACTACTCAGATGCACTGGAGCTCCAAACTGAGTTCACTTGGTCAACTGAGTCTTATTGGAATAAGCTACACTCCCCATGACTGCCCCTGGTCCTAGGTAATTATTGATATTAGTCATCTCCTTCCTTCACATTCATTCTAGATTTTCATTATCCTTGGTCTGAAATTGAGCTGATTTCATTTGCTTACCTGGTGGAGGAAACTAGACCTTCATCCCTGAGGGGTTTGAGCTTTTGGTTGTCTTTGCCTTATCTGGCCAGTTTTTGAAATTGCCCATTTCCCATTTTCCCACGGCATAGAGACAACACAAGTCCCCATAAGTGTCCTAACTCCTCATGATAATCAGGGTCAATTATTTCAATCAGGAAGGTAACCCCTCTATTTATCTGCTGGTCCACAAGCCCAAAGTGACCAGGCAGCAGTTGTAGTTTTAGATTCAGTGGAACACAATTTTTGTGCCTTGGTACCAACGTTTTTCTCCTTGGAACCAGAATCTTTGAGTTGTCAGAGTTTAGCATCATGAGTTCTGGAAGCACAAAACCTGCAAGTGGGTAGCTGAGCATGGTGGTTAGAGAGATCGGTACTACTGCTACCCTTTGTTTCCCGATCTGCATATATATTCTAGCACCATTTATAATGGCCATTATTTGATCCTTTTCTGAACGTTCTGAGTTGCTTCTGTCCCACAATGTCTTTGCAGAAATGTCTATTTCCTGTTTTGGACCCCATATTATTAAACCATGATAATTCTTATACTAGAGCTTACACATTTATTTTTAAAAAATCAAACTTCAATTATTGAGTTGTCTTTATTCCATATCCTTTGAAGGTTTTGCTGTCCTTCAGTATGATCTGCAAAATACTGCACAATGCCTATTATCTTGGAAAACAGTTGTGATTTTGCATCTCTTTCTCTAACACAAGCTCTCTATGTTCTCTTTGGAGAAGGAGGCCTCTGCCACAGGGAGAATTCTCAGCATTGTGTGACAATGTAAGGAATGCCAACAGTAAGTGTCAATTCCTATTTGGAGTACAAGCTGGAAGCACATCTTCATTTCACAGTGTCACATTCTTTCTCTGGGTTACCATTAAACACCCCCTCAAAGCATTAGTTAGGGTTGTTACTATTTGATCTCTTTCATGTCTCAAAAAACTTGGGCTACACTAGTGCAGATTCTATGCATTTATATTCTTCAGAAGCTGTTATCACTTTACTGACAGCAGATAAAAACATGTAATTATTATTTGACAGTATTTCTTATAAAAACATGTATGGGACTGACTATTTATAAATTTATAGACAGCACATTTAAGCTTAGTTTAAAGCCACAATATGAAGAAGTTTTTGTATTTTATTATAAAGAACAAAGTGATTGATGCGGGAAAGCAATGGGAAGGGAGAAAGTAGAGACAGAATTGAAGGTATGTGCCCCTCGGCTCTCCACCTAAGAGGTTTTGTTCCTTTTGAGGGGCAGCTGGAATAACGGGGGAAAGAGTTTGTAAACAAGATCAGGAGAACGGGACTGAGATTGACTTGATCTCAAAGAAACGTCTGGCTCTTTGAGCAGCTATTTTTATTTGTTATTCTCTGTTTTATCAGAACATTACTAGATTTTCACTTTGAACAAGCCAAAGCTCATTATCCTAATTCTCTCTGAACATTTTTTCTATTTTGCAAATTTCTACTGCCAGTAGCCAGGTTCAAAGCATTGAATATTGGAGTAGCTCTATAGGTCACCATGTTTGTCCAACAGAAAGAACTTCCATGTGATTGTATACCTTTCATCATCAAATTCAAAATAAGGGCTACCTCTTGAGGTGCAATCAGGGAGAGTCCACAGGGGCTTCAACTACAGTAGTAATTTTTTAGTTCCCAAAGGGGAACAACTATTTACTAGATTATTTTTACACTGTTCTTAATTTCCAAACTATTTTACAATAGCAATTTTTAAGGTACTCAATTAAAAAAAAGGATTATATGCTTCTTCATGGTTATTTACCTGTCAATACTGAGAATGTCTTATTAGCTCTCCATCCACCAATAAATGGTAATCAGTAAAATGATACAATAGTTCTTGCAGAGATTTCATGCAAGTTCTTTTGTTTATTTACTTAACAGGAAAGAATAACTACATGATCGAGAACAGGTGATGAATATTCTTCCAAAAGAAGCCTTTGCAGAATATATGACCTCTCTTTAAGCTTCTGCCTGGCTAAGACGCTACACCATATTTTTCTTCACAGAATAGATGTACACATCTTCCTTCCAGAGTATGTCATTAACCTACCTTTGACTTACCCTCGGTATTTTACTTTTTTCTTCTCCTTATTTATTAGTAGTTGGATTTGTATTTTTAGATTGCCAGGAAACTGGTGCTTATATTCAATATGATATTGTCTTTATTAATATACTTATAAACTTAACAGTCAACTTGACTTGCCACCAGTCATGTCCTATAAGTCATAATCCTTTGCTCAAATGTGTAGGACTGTCTAATTCCATTATCTCTGAGCGTTCACTTTAGAAAGTGAAACTGATGCTCTATAATGTGTACTATTCCTTCCTACCTACTTAGCTTCTTCTTTTGAAGTTCTCAGGAGGGTAATGCATTCATTTTGGAGCATTCTAACATACACTGTGTAACAGATATGTTATATAATATCACTCCCAGCAGCCTCAATCTTTCTATTATAGTGTTGAAATCAATATTTGACTAACATTTATTTAAAAGTTATGTAAGGCCCTTAAAACAGTTAAAGAGATAAAAACATTAATGGTTTCTGCAAATAGCAATCAAAATTGCTCTCTAAAAAAGGTTGCATGATTATTTCCAAGGACGTGTTTATTAGTAACCATTAGCATAGGTAGTTGCATCTTTAAATAAGTGTCATCTTGTATTACTGGAGAGTAAAATTTAAAGGAAATTATGGGCTTTTCAAACTACTCCATGTCCCTGTTGGAATATAAAAACACATTCCTGAACAACCATAGCATTTCCATAAGCCAATAAAATGATGACTCAGAAGGTGAAATACTCTAGACCACAAACCACTTACATATGAATATTTTAAAATTATGTAAAAGTCCCATTTTAAAAGCATTCATATAATCAAGAAAATAAATGTATTGTGCAAAAGTCATTTAACCCCTGACTCTTCCCTGAAATGTCTGAAGGCAATTCATTGATTTCATGAAATACTGTTCTAAAGGAGATTTTTAGTTTTCCGACAGATTTATTATAATGACTTTAAACATTCTTTGGGGTTCACTTTCTTTGATGTCTTAATGCAGAAAAGAATTATATATAAGGACTTTTTTGCTAGTATGCATTCTATTACACTGCTTGCAGTTCTCTGATGAGCAAATCCTAGTGTATCTCACTTCAGCCATGTTAGTGGCCACTTAACAAGTCTCTGAAGATTGTAGCCTGGTCCCCGGTTATTTCTATGGATGACAAACATACACTTAGTTCATTCTTTTGTAGCCACCGAAATCTTAAATAAAATTAATTTCTGCACTGAACACGGTACTGATTTTCATCCATGGAGGAAGATAGATTCACTTTAGAATATATATATTTTATGTTTTCCATAAACCAGGCAAAAACTGGGAATACAAAGATCTGGTTTTTGTCCTTGAAGAGTTCACAGTCTAGAGAGAGAGAAACACTTTATAAGACAAATACTAATAGAGTTGCATGGAGCTCCAAAGCATATTTCATACTTCAAACTACATTTTATACTTAGTAACCTCACTATCTAAAACAGAGAAAAGTTAATATTGTGTAAATTAATTTTGGGTAAAATAATATTATCCAACTCTAAAGGCTGTCGTGCGGATTAACTGTGTTATTATAGGTAAAGTGCTCAAAATAGTACTCGGCACCTGTTAAATATTGGCAATTATTTGTACTTGTTGTCATTATGGAAACTCCACATTTCCTTTTGTTCTTCAGTTCCTGTACAGTAGTAGCTACCACTTAATGCATGCCTACTATATACCACATATCTTACCCCAAGTAATTTTTTTTTTTTTTTTTTTGCTGTATGCGGGCCTCTCACTGTTGTGAGCACAGGCTCTCACCGTTGCGGAGCACAGGCTCCGGACGCGCAGGCTGAGCGGCCATGGCTCACGGGCCCAGCCGCTCCACGGCATTTGGGATCTTCCCGGACCGGGGCACGAACCTGTGTCCCCTGCATCGGCAGGCGGACTCTCAACCGCTGCGCCACCAGGGAAGTCCCCCCAAGTAATATTTTGTTAATCCTTTCAATAACTCTCTGAAATAACTGCTATAGCTTCTCATTTATAAATGGAAAATTCAACATTCAGAAATTAAATAATTTTCCCAATTTCAGCTCTAGTAAGTCCAGAGCTAAAATTCAGTCTATAATTTTCTATCAAACCACACAGCCCCATGGATAGAGATCGTTAATGAAGAATTGGGATTAAATTGCTTAGTTCTCTGAGAGATTGGCTCTTTCAATCCACCCTTTGTTCCCTTTGGAGCAAAGACAGACACTGAGAGAACTATTATAACTTATAGGGAACTAGAAAAATATACAAAGTCAATCCAATGCATTTTTCTAACGTTTCCTCCCTTTTTACAGCTGGCCTGTAGAGAAGATGGAGTTTGTGGTCCTTGATGAGGGGAGAAAAAGTATTTGAGCCTTATACTTCCCACATTCAATTGTTTGTAGAAAAATCTATATTTCTAGGTCTATCATGTCATATTCATAAAACATTATTAATAATCTCAAATCACCCCAAAGCAGTGAGCAATCAGGAGAGAACTGGATGAATATGATCCATGAGGAATGGGGATGAATGAAGCTATAGGGCAGAGGCATGCTTTGCTTCGGCAGGACCTGCACCTATGGCCCTGACCAGCCTACTCTTTGCCTGGTTCCTCCCTATGTCCTTCTCAAAGTAAACTAAGTAAACAAGGTAACTAAGTGTGCTTAAATTGGGTTTTTAACAGTACTCAGCTGTCTTACTGAATGGGCATCTTGATTATTTTCTTTGTTTTAAAACTTAAATATGTGTGTGTGCATATGGACATACTCTTTTTTTAAGGTAATAAATGGTTGAAATTTATTAGATGGTTAACTATGTGCCCGGACTGTTCTATGCGCTTTACACTATTTCATTTAATCCTTAAAACATTTCTATGAGTTAGGTATTATTATTAACCCATTTTCACAGATGAGGAAACTGAGGCCCAAGATAACAAGGCTGGTAGAATATACAAGATCATAAAGCTGGTAAAAATCAGAAGCCAGACAGCCAAATGCAGACCTTGAGTTTTTATGTGTTATGTTAGACTGCTTTCCATGTTCCTTAGAAAATTTGGAAAATAATTGAGAAATAAATGTCACTCATAATTGCATTGCCAAAAGATAGCCATTATCTATATTTTTACAGTTTTGTGCACATAAAAATATTATGCCAAAGGTTTCATATTTTCACTTGATGTATCATAATGCACAACTTAAGATATTTTAAATTGTTTGAACATTATGACTTTTTAATTTTCCATGGTATATCATCATTTAGTTAACAATTTCCATGTTTTTAAGAATTTATATGGCTCTTTTTTTTTTTTTTTTGGTACACGGGCCTCTCCCTTTTTTTTCCCCTCCCGTTGTGGAGCACAGGCTCTGGACGCGCAGGCTTAGCGGCCATGGCTCATGGGCCCAGCTGCTCCGCGGCATGTGGGATCCTCCCAGACCGGGGCACGAACCCGTGTCTCCTGCATCGGCAGGTGGACTCTCAACCACTGCGTCACCAGGGAAGCCTCATATGGCTCATTTTTAATCATAAAAGTATTACATTGACATCTTTGTGTTTAAAGTTTTTTATGTAATTATTTAAGATTATCTTTTAAGATACATTCCTAGAAGTCTAATTCCTATTCCAAAGACACCATTTTGTTTCAATGCTCGAGATTTGTTTTGAATAAAAATTTATTTAGAACTTCCCATGAGACTTTCTGTCTATTCTTTCTGTTGAGCCCTTATTTGCCCCTTTGTAATGGCTTCAACTCCCAAAGAATTCCGAATTTCCAATCATTTAGAGTTAGAGGACAAGTTAATTTTTAAATGGAGGTCACTATTTACTTTAGCTAATATTAGTATAACAAGTTAGTGTTTTCAATTCTCCCACTGTGCTTTCTCCCAAGTCATTTTGCTCCTTTAATGCAGGCTTTAGATTCTTGAGTGCTTCTGGATTGAGTTCTATCTGTGCTGCCACTTACCCAGAAAGTCTGGCTCTTCTTGAATTCTTTCCAGTCTCTCTCTTCCAGGCTTCCACATTCTGCCTGTCTCACAATATTATTGAAATGTGTCTTCAACCTCCAGGTTCAAGCTAGATCTACTGCTTTCCTAGCTTCTTCGGTGGCTGAAGGCCTGCTTTTTTTGGGGGGCGGGGGTCTGGGCAAACAGACCTTCCATCTGAGGACACCTGCTTGTCTTCCCAAGTCCCCCGAGTTCTGCTGGAGGCTGGGCTCTATGGCCAGGTTTTTACTTGGAGTTGTTGAACATACATGTCTAGGAGGGAGGGAAAGGAAAACGTCTTTCAACTGACAAAATGTCTCATAAACATGACCTGAGAATAATTCAGAATCCTGGAGATAAGTGGGACTGTAATTATTCTCAACACCGTAACTCAATACTTTAAAAATTCACCATGAAGAGAGAAGCTTTTCAATTGCACACTTAGTGCTAAATCCACATTGCAAGCAAAAGGTAGAATAGCACAAATTAGTTAGCGGGCAAATAAATTTCAACTTTTTTTTTTTTTTTTTTTTGTTTTTGCGGTACGCGGGCCTCTCACTGCTGTGGCCTCTCCCGTTGCGGAGCAGAGGCTCCGGACGCGCAAGCTCAGCGGCCATGGTTCACAGGCCCAGCCGCTCCACGGCATGTGGGATCTTCCCGGACCGGGGCACGAACCCGTGTCCCTTGCATCGGCAGGCGGACTCTCAACCACTGTGCCACCAGGGAAGCTCAAATTTCAACTTTTAATGAACGGACTGGGAAGGGCTTTGCAATGAGTTGCAGAGATGATGGCCATGGGAGCCTGCAGAAGGTCATTAGCGACCAATTGTCTTGTCCATGACAGCTTTCTGTTTAGATGAGATATTAGTACCAGCCTTATAGAAATAGAGATCAGAAGGAGAGAATCCTGTGAATCAAGCTGAGGACTAGGAGATAAGAACCAGAAAACCTGGGGTCTAATCCTAGCCTCGACAAGTTACTTTAACTTTTGTTTCTTAATAGCAAGTGCTAACTATGAGGGAACTTACATTGCAATAACAAATACGAACTACAAGAAAAATTACAAAGCAATGCATTCAGGTAAAATTCTTTATCTGAAGAAGATGTGGGAATAGAAGTCACTGTTCACCTTGCAGTCCATATCATCTTTTAAGTGTGTGTGTGTTTTAGTATTAATATTTACAATTTTTTATGAAATAATGGAAAAATAGTTGCTATATTCCAGCATGTAACAATTGAAATCATTCTAAAATGTTGGCCAAGTGGTGGCAGCATTAACAGAGATCAAAGCCTCATAAAGGTATTAATTGGCCAGATTGCATCTCTTAGATTATTCATTTCCCAAGAAGGAAAATACAGACTCATTTTGTTAATCACACGTTGACAGATTTTTGGAACCATAGGAAAGGGAATAGTCAGTCTTATTCAAAACACTTTTAAATATTTATCTCTAATCCTGAGTGACATTTCTTAACAAAGAAAGTATACTGGCTGAGGCACAAGTGGTCAGGGAACACAGTAGAGAAGTAATGGGATATTCTAGGGACAGACAGCCAAGAACTTAGAAGATTTACAAATTCACAGAAACAAATATGGCTTGATTGTCTATGACTAAAAACTTGAACTTAGATAGGAAAAACTAGAAAATAAAATGGAATAAAGTGTGGAATGTATTTTAAAGCCACACAGGCTAAATAAAATATAAACCCCATTTTGTAATGAGATTTGATAGCAGGAAGTTCCTTGGAAACTACTGCATTATGCAACTTGCCAAAGAAGCATGTTATTATTGATAGAGGGGATCTGTTCACTTCTAGCATGGTAATTAATTATTTATTCTAATGTGAGAGAGAAAAATAGACCTATGTTAATAGATTTCCAGGGACCTAGTAAATCAGTACTTGAAAAACTATACGGAAAAGGAAATCTACATCTTTTTGCTTGGCAGAAAAACAAGGTAATAAAATATTAGGCGGCAGGCCCAGATTTGCATTTTCTGTCGTCAGTTTAAAATTTATATGTGTGTTATATTCTAAAATTTTTAATCCAAGTTAGTTGGTTAGTATTTGAAACGTTTTTCCTCTAGAAATAAGGTCCTGGATGATGGATTACTTCACAGAATTACCCTGGTCCTGACACACCCTCAACACACACACACACAACACACACACACACACACACACACACATTTCTATCAATTTCATTTTACTCATTTGAAGATGGAAATAATAACTTCCCATTAGGGTAGTTTGTTGTCAGCCTTAAGTAAGGTAAGGCAAGCTAAAATTCTTTTTGCATTGCAATATCCCACAAAATATTAATTATTAATGTACTCTAGTACTATATGGTTTAGCTTCTCTTTGGATTAAATCACGCTTTGTAAACAAGGTCGAT